GTAGCCAACCATGCTGATCGGGAGACACGGGGGAAGGACAACAAACTCAACACAAAAAACAAGTTCTCAAGATATGAGTTTGCAATCTGGATTTAAACGTGCATAGATCCCAGTGGCTTCCTAATATCGGAAGGAAGAGCGTTCCAAGAGGGCCGCAGAAGCGCATCCGAAAGGGCCCGATGCAGTGAACCGTCTTCGTTCGATGGCAAGCCAAAAAGCCGCTGCTGCGAGGATAACCGGAGTTCACGTGATGATGATTTATCGCTCCAGCCCCGGCTACGCCACTATACGAGACTGTTGGGAATGCGTCCATCGTTGGTGCCAAATCCTAGCAGTTTTTGTTGTTGTTGTTTGTTTATATATGTGGCTCAGGACAGCTGCTGGAGTCGAGCCGTGGATTTTGTTTTGTTTTACAGCGAGCGTTTGCATCGATAGTGAGTGCCTGCATGAGCGGCTAACATACGCAACATGTTTAGAGGCTACAAACCCTCACGGAGTTACGTGGTGGGGGCAGCCAAGGACAGTGGAGCAAAACCTATTATCCTAGCACTGCTCCGTGGCTCACTTTGACCGACCCGCACTGACCAGCGTGATGAATCATCACCTGTACGGTGGCATGGACCTCACGAACCGCACGGCGTGTGGAGGGCTCCCATCTATAGATAGTACAATTGCCCACGTACGCCTTGGTGCACGTGGAAATATATCGTGCCTGCCGCAAACAGTATTTCCATTTCGCACATGCTGTCGAGTTTAATCGCGCAAATGAAAACGTTTATTTAGGAAGGACGCACATGTCATTGTCTTCCGAATTCGTAATGCAAATTGTAATTAATCTTTGACTTATTGAAGGTAGTCAGATGGCGTATTTTAGGTGGTCGGTTGGCATTTTAATTGTTGAACCTTTGAAATTGTGCGGAATAGTATATACAGTAGTTGATTAAAAATCGATCTTCAGGAACATCGCTGTTCCTTTCATTATCAAGTTCATCTTTTCTAAAGCACTCGAACCTGCTGTCCCTTTTTTCATTATTGTCATTCTGATCCGCCTTCAATATCTTAGGTATAAATATTGCGCTGGTTTGCAGTTGTATCCCTCTGACAGATATCTATAAATGTTTCCCGAATGTGTAATACAGTACTGTACATGACGTTCATATTGCTCATATTTATCCAGAGCCCAACTTGCGGCCTTTTTTTGAAATTAAACCCTTCAAATAATTTCCTGCAGTAAATTCCAATTGACGTCATTACTATCAACATGTCAGAAACGTAAATTTTGATTTAAAGCTTTAAAGAAAAAAAAACTAAGAATATGTCAGAAACGGTTAATAAATCTCGTGGTTAATATTTTCGCCATTAACGTTCGTGTTTGTGTTTCATATCAAATCGTACTCCAGCACGGAGAGCAGTGTGGGCTGTCGCACATCATGATTTGCAATAAAGCCAAACAAAACTAGCTGAAATTTATTTATAAATTGTTATATATTTATACTTTACTGATGCGGGTTGATGGATAGTGTAAGAATTAAATGTGTATGTGCAGGCCTATTGTCTGCCTATTTATTTGGTTATTTATGTTCTCCACAACGACACCAATGATTATTCAAGAAGAGATATCCAGCTGGAAACAGGGGCGGAGCCAGGATTTCAGGCCGGGGTGACATTCAACAAATGTTAAGTTCTAGAATGATTAGAGTCAGGCTGTTGAACTAGACGCCATCGGTTGGCGACACGCTCTGACAATGCAGTTGCACGGAGTCCGCCAGACCGAGTGTCGTACACTTATACAGCAGAATGTCACCCCTGTCACCCCCCTGGCTCCGCCCCTGGCTGGAAATATTTGAAGCAACAACTCCTTGTTTGCTAAGCTGGTTTGGTTTAAGTGGAGCGTTCACTAAATTTAGAGATTAACAAAATCTAGTTCGCCAATTAGCCAAAAGGTTTGAATCCCTTTGATTTGGTAATCCTCATTCCCACGTGTGCTACAATACCCCCCAGGTGAATGATTATGCGGATTGAGAAGCGGCCCTTACGTAACTCCAGTGGGGGTAATTGAGGCTTGTTTTTTGAAATACGATTATTTTTCCCCTTCCGGTCATGGTGTACGTGGATTAAGTGTTAAGGAGAACACTCAAGAGATCCTCCTGGAAATATTATTTTTAATAATTACAATTTTCAATTATCGATGTCCTTTGTTTAGCTTGCTTAGTGCATTTGCAAGGGAAGCGAAATACCGTATGTTGGAAATTAGGCTCCCACTTTTCGCAATAACATTTAACTGATGTTCACATTTAATTTCCTCCAAGGTACTGTATAACAGAATAACAACCGAGTATTTGGCTGAATTGACCGGCTTTGCAAAGCAAAGCCACTGTAGTAACGAAATTGTGGCTTCAAGTGTGTACACGAAATCAAGACGCTTCAGCGGAAATTCAAGTGCAGTATATTTGATGTGCTGCTACTCAACGGACAGCACATTTGTGTCAACTCAAAAGTGTTCGATATGCCAATTACTAATTTTCTTTGTATTTTTCGCCTTTTGGCGTTCTCTGGTCTGACGCTGGTGAGACTAGAAGATAAAGCAGGCTGTCTGGTGTAGACCAATAAGTTGCAAATACAATGCATATATTACAATATGTAACAATTTTTGTTCCTGGGTAGTGTTATTGCTTCTGCCTAAAAAGTATACAGTGAGGGAAAAAAGTATTTGATCCCCTGCTGATTTTGTACGTTTGCCCACTGACAAAGAAATGATCAGTCTATAATTTTAATGGTAGGTTTATTTGAACAGTGAGAGACAGAACAACAAAATCCAGAAAAACGCATGTCAAAAATGTTATAAATTGATTTGCATTTTAATGAGGGAAATAAGTATTTGACCCCCTCTCAATCATAAAGATTTCTGGCTCCCAGGTGTCTTTTATACAGGTAACGAGTTGAGATTAGGAGCACACTCTTAAAGGAAGTGCTCTTAATCTCAGCTTGTTACCTGTATAAGACACCTGTCCACAGAAGCAATCAATCAGATTCCAAACTCTCCACCATGGCCAAGACCAAAGAGCTCTCCAAAGATGTCAGGGACAAGATTGTAGACCTACACAAGGCTGGAATGGACTACAAGACCATAGCCATGCAGCTTGGTGAGGTGGAAACAGTTGGTGTGATTATTCGCAAATGGAAGAAACACAAAAGAACTGTCAATCTCCCTCGGCCTGGGGCTCCATGCAAGATCTCACCTTGTGGAGTTGCAATGATCATGAGAACGGTGAGGAATCAGCCCAGAACTACACGAGAGGATCTTGTCAATGATCTCAAGGCAGCTGGGACCATAGTCACCAAGAAAACAATTGGTAACACACTACGCCGTGAAGGACTGAAATCCTGCAGCGCCCGCAAGGTCCCCCTGCTCAAGAAAGTTTTCCAATGAACATCTGAATGATTCAGAGGACAACTGGGTGAAAGTGTTGTGGTCAGATGAGACCAAAATGGAGCTCTTTGGCATCAACTCAACTCGCCGTGTTTGGAGGAGGAATTCTGCCTATGACCCCAAGAACACCATCCCCACCGTCAAACATGGAGGTGGAAACATTATGCTTTGGGGGTGTTTTTCTGCTAAGGGGACAGGACAACTTCACCGCATCAAAGGGACGATGGACGGGGCCATGTACCGTCAAATCTTGGGTGAGCACCTCCTTCCCTCAGCCAGGGCATTGAAAATGGGTCGTGGATGGGTATTCCAGCATGACAATGACCCAAAACACACGGCCAAGGCAACAAAGGAGTGGCTCAAGAAGAAGCACATTAAGGTCCTGGAGTGGCCTAGCCAGTCTCCAGACCTCAATCCCATAGAAAATCTGCGGAGGGAGCTCAGGTTCGAGTTGCCAAACGTCAGCCTCGAGTTGCCAAACGTCAGCCTCGAAACCTTAATGATTTGGAGATCTGCAAAGAAGGGTGGGACAAAATCCCTCCTGAGATGTGTGCAAACCTGGTGGCCAACTACAAGAAACGTCTGACCTCTGTGATTGTCAACAAGGGTTTTGCTACCAAGTACTAAGTCATGTTTTGCAGAGGGGTCAAATACTTATTTCCCTCATTAAAATGCAAATCAATTTATAACATTTTTGACATGCGTTTTTCTGGATTTTTTTGTTATTATTGTCTCTCACTGTTCAAATAAACCCTACCATTAAAATTATAGACTGATCATTTCTTTGTCAGTGGGCTAACGTACAAAATCAGCAGGGGATCAAATACTTTTTTCCCTCACTGTAGAAGATGGCTATTATTCCCCACGTTTGCTTTTATGACCAGAACAGTGATATTTTGAAATTGACATATGAGAAAACGGGCCAATTAGTTTTTTCGTTCAGTCAGAAAAAAAACATTAATCAAAATTAACATGTATTTATACTATAGTAATACTATACTAAATCAATAATTGCCCTTTTTATGAAGACGACCGCTTGTGTTGCGATCAAAACGTCGTAGTTTCATTTTCTTTGAACCTGATCTCCGCTACTTTACCGAAAGACCCAAAGAACATGAATCCCTGCAGTCACGAAAGCTTTAAGTCAAAATTTAACCAGAAACTCACTGAGTTGTGAATCCGGTTTTAATCATAGGATCCTGCATTCAAACACAGGGGGTTCTCTCAGTGGTGCCTATTCAGTGCCGAGTTCAAGAAGCGATGCGCACATCTAAAACGCAAAACATCTTCCAAAGGTAATGCCTAAAATGCTTTACTGTGAAATGCTCTAACATTAGGTTTCTGGTTGTGATAGTACCATTACCAGTTTAACGCTTATGCTTTCGTGACTAATACTATCCATTATAGAGCACTACTGCCCACGTGAAATTCTGGCATGTTTAAGGGGTCTCCTTTATAAAAATGTAATGCAAGTCTGCATTATTCAAATCACATCCTCTGGCATTTCTCATATAAAAGATTGCCAATATTGTAGGTTCCCTTAACTAACGTAACACAAAGAGCAGCAAGATTCCATGCACAAAAAATTTATTCATACGGTTTATAAAATGCCGGTTCAAAATACCATGCAATTTAAAACACAAAACAAGAGTTATGTACATGCAGTGCTGGATGGTGTTCAAATTTTCCAAGACTTGGGGAAATGATAAATGACCATTAAGTCATCTTCCTTGATGAATAACGTTTATGAAATTGATTCTTAGCAACCATCAACAAAATTAGTATTCTATAAATACATCTGGAGAAGACACATTACACCTCAACGTATATAACATGCCTATTCCACAGAAAATAATTGAAACCATTGATGGAAGTTTAAATTCAGTTTCACACTGAATTTTATATCGACATGCAATATTTTTCACAAATTTGGAGAAGCTGTCCATAATACTGTTTCAGCCATGCCTTCATCTACATGTGTGCATTTGCATTTTCCTCAACATGTTGACATTCCAGATACATCTGTACATCATCAGCACTCAGCGAATATAAACATTATGAAGCATAAAGCAACAAAGTGTTAACAAAGGCTTTTTGTATATATATAGCACTCATTCAGCTATATCCCATAGCACTTTGTGTATCTGAAAATGACATGCAGTTAAACTTTTTTTTTCACTTTTAGGGCAGGTAAAAATACCTGCATTTTCCATCAACATATATAAAATGCAACTTTAAACATAAAATGCTTGGGTTGTGTAGGACATGGGATTTCATTTGCTAAGCATAAAGTATATCATTCCACAAATAATGGAAAGGTGTTTGAAATCATAATAGCAAAATTAGATATGACCTCTATTTTTTACACAAAACCCTTAAAAAAGTTTCTACACAATAAAATTATAAACAAAAAGAAAACCGACTATAATACAGACTTGGCAACAACCAATTACAATAATACACCTGAGGCGAGCATACATTTACACAACAGATTTTTTTAATCCATTTTGGCATTTTAAAACAAAAACTTAAGACCATTTGAAACCTACATAGCATAAAGCATTATAAAATATATGGGGGGGAAAAAAACACATTAAAAGGGTCTGTAAATAATTCAGTTGCATTTTTCTATACCATCAACACTATGCGTATAGGATGAGGAACGTTGGTACAGCATTTTCTATTCATGGGAAATTCCAAGTTTGAAAACTTTTATTTTGGTAAATCTGTATGCTCTTTAGTGAAGTAAAAATCACATTTACCATTGTCTGTTATATCTTAAGTGTAAAAAAATGGATATGTTACAGTTTAGAAATGTTTGCTTTTAAAATTTAATTAGCAACTGTAGTACTGCCAATACATTTAAAGTGTTTCATATATATACTGTATATATTAACTTAAACATCTCAAAGAACAATAAGCATAATTTAGCATTTGAAAGTTTGACAATATTTTTTTATTTTATGTAAAGTGCGATGCCACCATAAACATATGAAAACATTAAATTAGATATTTTATATCAGCATCATTTAAACATTCTAATATTTGTTTACTTTTTTACACCTGATACACTCCGAAGGCTTAATGGGCACTATGTATGAAGAAAATGTTTATACATTACAGTAGTTATACTATTTTGAATTAGATGTTAAGATGTTTTTCTATTCAAATAGCATTGCACAGAAAAATGCAACCAATGGTAAGTGCATTTCACCCAAATGCCTTACGTGGTGGGTGTTTGAATAAAGAAAAAAAAATTCTGTACGTGATTGTTTTGTGACTAGAATTTTTCCGTCTTCAAATGGGCCTACAGTACATTGTAAACATAAATTTAAAGTAATGAGTCTGCACTGGCTGTTTACCCAAAATGCATTGCACAAAAACACATTTCACAGACCTAACACTCTGCCTACTACACTGGAGTGTTTGGAGCAGTTTTGGGACACTTTTGGGACACGTTTGGTCCAGACTCGAGATGATCTATCCCCATACGCTTTGTGTCAATGCACCAGGGTGGGTACTGTTCACAACATGTTATGCCAGAGATCCTGAAAAACAGAAATAAATGTGGTCTAGCACCGTTCCAAGGTGGCTGGGGACTTCCATACAGGTATATTCCTAGCCAAAAGAATGCCGAGACCTACAGTCCACTTCACTTACGAGTAAACCACAGGGCTCTTTGGCGGGGACATGTCGATGGTTGCATGTGAGTGCGAGATCACACGGATTTTTTTCCTGAACCAAAATGCAAAGCAGCAGAACGCTCATCGTTTGCATTACTCTGCATTCCATTTACAATGCACTTTGTTTCATTTATAAAAACCTGCACGATCACAAACACTGGCATATTTATTCTGAAATAAAAGACCATGGGAAAAAGTGCCTTGTCCAGACACCATATTAGTGGTACAATGCTCACCTCCTCTTCAAGATGATGCTCAGAGCTACAGCTTGCATTACTACATCTCCACAGGCTGCGGCAGCAAGTGCCTCCCACAGCTGCACTTGAAGCAAAAATTACAGCATATACCAAACACTCACTAGCATAACAAGTTAATACAAATTTGATTAATTGAATTGACTTTCATTTGAGTTATTTTTGCGATACGTCCATACATTCCGTTTATCCCATGCCAATTCAAATCCCATTCATCTCATGCTAGTTAAAAAGCCCTTTACACATTCCCCCATCCTAGCCAACATTTAGAGAAATATAGTTTATTTCTGGTTAACGCAAATATGGCTTGTTTGTTTGAAGTAATATACTTGCTACAAAGATCTTAAAAAGCAATTATTGACTGATGCTATTTTAGAAAAAGCCAGGATGTCGGCACTAAAGTGGGATTTACATGGAAAATGGGGCAGCAAAGGCTCCAATGGCAGGATTTGGATTCAGATATGGCAGGACGAAGCCAAAAGAGGTACCATGGAGTAAATCAAGGTAAGTCATTCGGTTAACATTAAAAAAGGGGAATAAATAATGTGGGCATTTCAGCTAACTCATAAACAGCCTATCCTGGATAGGATATCTTCCAGTAATACCTATATTGTATAGGTCCATGCACATCCACTGTTTGCCAGCTGGTTAGTTCATTACTATTACAATGTTTTTGGTGACAAAAGCTAACAAAATCTGCGCTTTTAATGAGCACAAAGAGTAACCATCATCAGTGACAACTTCCTAATTATACAAACCACCTGTGTGAAGTATATTTTGGAAAGATCATCTTGACTCAATGGACTAATTTCATAAGCAAGATTATGTAATGATATAAAACTTATTATTTGGATATTTCGGTAAAGCCACGTAGATAGAAAAACAATAAAAATATCACGACGTTTTTATCGCAACACAATCGTCCTCATGCCACAAGCAATCGTCCTCGGATGAGGACGATTGTTTGTGTTGCGATCAAAACGTCGTGATATTTTTATTATTTTTCTATCTAGATGGCTTTACCGAAAGACCCAAAGAATATGAATTCCTGCAGTCACGAAAGCTTTAAGTCAAGATAAAAAAACCTGATAACCATTACCTTACTTTTCCCAGGATGTCCTTTTGTTAGTGTAGTATCTCAACATATGAAACTCATGCTCTGTCTGAACATGGAAGAAACAATGCAGAACACTAGCACTGAGCATCATTCGTAAAAGGCAGTTTGTATAAATAGAAGACTTGTTTCCCCCGGAAAATCCCATAGCATAGGTGCCACATACGTAATGCCCCATTGTTTTGACATTTCCTGGTGTTGCCCTTTGTTGAGCTGGGGCCGCCTGCCCCAGATCAGCTCCTGCATTTTCAGACAGAGCAGCAATGGAAGGGCATTAAATGGGGAGAGTGCAGAAAGGGGATGACGGCAGGAGTGGGATAAGGGAAAGGGGCAGAGGTGGGAATAGCAAAGCTGTGCCATCAAAGAGGCCTCACTGCACAATCCTGACATACAGAGGGTGAATGAGCTGAGTGAGCTTAGCGGTCTGACATTATCCCGCTGCGACATCACTGGCCATTGCGGCCGCCTGTGCTGTTGCCGTCTGTGATGCTGCTGTTGTTGACAATGCTGGGGCTGCCGTCGGGAGACACGCCATCCTTGCGTGGCGGCATCCGCTCGTTGATTCGGTCCAAGCCCTTGGCCTCTGCAAAGCTGGTGATCTTCTGCTGAGGCGTAAAGCCTTTAATGGCTGTCCAACACAAAGCACAGCCAACAAGAAACAGAGCATTACTACAGCATTTAACAAGTTGTCTATTGCAAAATACTCTCAATAGTCTGAGCAATGTTTTACATCTCCGCATTTAATAAAAAAAATTAAGTTCTTTCAAAAATTAAGACCACTGAGTATGCACCAATAATTATGTTTGCATGAAAATAGGATATTTCAAGGATTTCATTATGTACATAAAATTGTATAAACTTAAAAATATACTGGATTACAACTTACAATGTATATAATATACAACTTACCATTACTTTTTCAAAGGCTAAATATGTAATTAACATTTTATATTGAAATACAGCACAGTCTACTAAATATCCAGGGTATGGCTCTTAAGAGTCCAGTAGTAACTCAGACCTTACCATATTTTCAGTGGATAATTTTGGACATAAAACAAAATAAATTATGATTTGTCTAATACACAGGAATACAAAATAAATGATTGTATGCCCTCTGCTAGACTAATAATCTTGCGAGATAACATCTTACGATTATAATATTTATTTGTTTTATTGGCGTCAATTCAGCAAGGACAGTGGGGGTGGCTGGTATGGTCTGGACGAGAAGTTCGCAGTGGGACCTTCCATTGGATAGATTTTTTTTTCTTTAAAAAAAAACTGCTTCAGGTTATACTTGACTCCTCAATGTTACAGTACCCTGGATATTTAATTTAAAAATTCTCAATAGCCACAAACGTTTGGTAACACCCATGCTACATTGAACCTTGTAAATAGCGGTGACTTTCTCATGAAGAAATGCACTATTGCCACATTAAGGTGTTTGCGCATTGGATCAAAATACCCACAAACTAACAGCATTACAGGACTATTGCTGTCAATTCCATAGATGTGTATAAAATGGGAAACGGCAATACATTACTGAAAATATATTTTTATGTTAGAATATGCATGTAGATTTGTTCTTGTGATAAGAGTTTATGCGCAAATGAGACATCTTTTGAAAATATATTATGATGTCGTTTAAACCAGTGGTGAGTGAATGCCAAAATTAAAGCTATTTATGCATGTATGGTATGGGCGTGCACAACACTGTGCACCAAATTCTGCTGCCCGGTTCAAGTCAGCCGATTTTATATTACGCTGCATGTTGATGCAATTTACATATATTGCCCCAATAACCAAAAATAGGTGCCCTCAAGACACCAAACCAAAATGTCAATAGGCATTTTTTGAAATGTTACATGTGGATAAAACAATCACAATACATATTTCAGTAAACACTTGTAAATTACAGCAGAACACCAAAAAGTCCAAGAATGCAGCCAGCCTATATTTGTTCATGAAAAGTACCCAGCTTTGAATGCAAGTGAATGCTATTATTGCAAGAAATGTAATCTCAATATATTTGAAATAAAATACTATACTCAAATATATGAATGTAATAAATATTTTAAAAAATCTATACATATTGTCTTCAAGAACATGGTTTTGCAACATTTACTTATACTTTTAAGATTTTTGGAATGTAAATAGATGGCGTACTAAACTTGGATGAATGCATTCTTGAAGCTATATATGCCATTAATGTTGGTTTTATGCAATTATATTTCCAAATACACTGCATACAGCATATATCCATACATTTTGCTGTTCTGTTTTCCTGAAATAATTTAAATATCAACAGGCAGTCTACAAGCAAGGCATTCTGCAGGCAACAAGCATGCATTGTATAAACTATATTAAGCTATAATACACATGCCATACGTGCAAAACTACTGCATGACATGCAACACAATTATAAAAAAATAGATAAATATTAAACACAAAAAAGCAACGTGTTTTATATTGCAATATTTTCTGATACTCAAAAACGTCTATATTAACACATGCAATATGTGCACAGCCATGCAAAAAGTGGCCATGCAACAAGGTTGAATGACTGAATGTATAGGTAAACATGTTATGCATTTCGAAGAGTTCATTTAAAACCAGTATCTCATGAAAAAATAAACAAGTAAGACCACCAACAATAACACAGAACGGGAAACGGGTTAAAACAATCGAGTCACAGCAAATAATTTATATCAAAACACCCTCTCCATTATTTTATTAATTGTCGCTCTTCCCCCAAGCCTACACCCCCCGCCCCTCCACCCCCCCGCCCCACAAATGTGAAACCTCCCCCATACCTTTGTGAGCCTCAACAGCCTCAAAGGCAGCTAAAGAGAAGTCAGCGATCACATGCAATGTAAATGAGAGACAATTAATTTAGCAACAAATTACACCATACATGTATGATGCGTAGAAAATGCAGACCAAGAAATAAGACTTTCAGAAGTTAAACCTACAGCATAATTCTGAGAATAGCTTAAAATATTCTCTGCATGACAAATACAAAACGACAATACACAATTTATACAGAAATAAAATAGCATTTAAAACATGCTGAAATAAATCATGAGGAAAGGAGGGGGGTAATTAATGTTTTCATTTTATTATTAGCACTCTTTTCAGGAGGGTCCTGGTAAGTTTCTGCAGTAGGAGGGGGCAAAGTTGCTGTGTAATAAAAATTCAGTAATTTTTTGGTATTTTTCTAACATTGGGATATTTGGCCAAAACCAGTTACATTGTATACTTTTTTTATTAGCTGCGGGAGGAAACTGGAAAACCTGAAGGGACTCCCCCCTTGCAGAACAAGGGGAGAACACACAAACTCCACACAGAAAGGTGCCCAGAGTTGGGAATGGAGCCCAGGGCCTTTTTGCTATGGAGGCACTGCAACACTACCCCACCCCCTGCCACCCAAACTTTGTAAATGTGTATTTTTCATAAGTTGAGATTGTCACAACTTAGGGCTTTCAATGGATTTACAAATGAGAACATCGGACTTTGTCCCACAGCGATGTATCTTATTGCTCCAAATTTATACTTAACTCTACCAACACTTAGAAACAGGCAATTTGCTCTAAAAAAACAGTAGAAACCTGTAAAAAAAAACAGAAAATATATCATATTCTAATCGTGTAAAGTATTATTTTCCTTAGAAAATAACACGACTGTCATGTGATCGTATTATTTTGGTTATTATAGGACTCTACTGTATTTTAAATCGGAATGAAATTACACTTTAAACTGCGCAAAAACATAATATATTTTTGCATATATTTAAAAAACAATCCACATAGACATACACAGGTCAGAGTGTCAGCTGGGAAAGAAAGGTAGAATCAGATACAGCATACAGTATGCAGCTGAAATACAAAACTTAAATATTGGACAAGCTACTTGTGAAAAAAGATTAAACGAGCATTTTTGAAAAAAGACAAAAGTTCAACTTGTTTACACCAGGTATGACAGCATAAAAAGTGTGTTTCTCCATTCTAAACTTAAGTGATATAAATTTAGTTCACTAGTCAGTTCTATTTAGTATCAACACCCTAATTCACTTATTTGGAAGCCAGTATGTGAAGCATTAAAATAATACATTTTTTATTAATAAAGTGACATTAACATACCTGTAAACGGTTAAATTCAAGGTGTAGCACGAAACACCAAACTATTCCATGTACAGGAATTGTCTCATTTTTGTTTGAGTGGATGAATCAAACTACAGTAACGCTTGATTGCAAACAGATTCAACGAGTGTAATCATAAACTCTTTATAGGGCCATGTCCTGGTGTTGCTGTTATCAGTGCATCGGCAGCAAAAAGGCTTGGGAGCACATGCGATGCTAATTGTGGCAAAGGGGGTCAAAGGCACATGGCGGGAGGGGGCACAACATCTGCTCTCACAGACTGAGTTTCACGTCAAGTATATTTTACCTCAAAACAATTGCTTGGGAGTTGTAAAAACTAGATACAACTCTACGTAGTATTTTCAAATAATTTATTTGAATTCAAGGACACCAGAAGGCTGCTTTTTGCACTCACAATATACAATGGAAACTACGTCGTTTGAACTTCGTTTGTATCACCAATTACAACAAAAAATATTGTAGGGCACCCTCTGTAAAGAATGCTCATCGACTGCAGTTCTCTTTGAAGTGAATTCTGCTCATTTCATAATACAGTTTTAGACAAACGTGATATAAAGCAGGTTCCAATTAATACATTTTACAGGAATGCATTAGACATGTTCTGCAGCAAAAAGCAGCCTGGAATATGCAAAAGCAGGATGTGTTAGACAAAAGCAAAACCAGAGGCACTTGTCAATTTTTATTTTGTTAAGGCAAGAGGAAACGGACTTCTCAGAGTAGCTTGAATGCCGCATTTGATTCTGAGCCAGTCATGTCCAATGGTCGAAAAGGATGTTCTCATTCTGACTCCAGAAATGGACGGTGGCAATCGTGAAACTTGTCGTGTGAGAGCAATTGATACAAGATACATGCATCAGTTTGCGTACCGCTCTGCAAGGTCTGGCGTCCTCCAGCCAGTACTCCAGAGGGCAGCATGCCAGTCGGGGTCAAGCCTTTCAGGGTCAACACGCTCTCGCTCTCCTCTCTGCAGGCACAAGAGTCAACATGAGCCTAAGCCAACATATTCAAAACTTGGGACAAAGTGATAATTTAATATAATTTTAATGTGCCCATCGTAGGGGAAGAAAAGCATACCCAAGGACAGGTACGATTTTATAAAAAAAAAAACGTATTTGCAGCTCATAAATACCACAAGTCGATATGTATCGTTACATGTACGTATTGTTATGCCTGGTCAGCACAGGCATAAGGGATATCATCATACACAAGGGACACCTATGGTGTTTATAATTGACAGAGGCGGGTCTATTCACTGTTATTGTGCTGTGAAATGTTCATCCTATCTGGAACACAGGCTTAACAGACACTGCAAGGAATATAATCGAATCAATGTGCTTAAGTGGAGTGAAGGGATACATCAAGACAATTCTCAGTAAGTGCTGGGAACGTTTACATTGTAGACAATCAATCAATACGCAACACAGTGAAAAATTGCACTTATGAGGTGTTTTTCCAAGGGCTATTTGCCATAAAACTCAGAAGGTGCATTTCTTTGAAAAGTGAAAAAATTGTGCCCTAAATTTTCATTCAAATAATTGTGCCAAATCTTATACACGTGTAATAGTCAACTAAAGTACCATGTTTTCTATGGTAAATCGTATAACCATGCAAAATGCTCCTTATGGGACTCGAGGGAAACCACCCTGTGCAAAATGTACATAGGTACGAACTTCCTCCGCAAAACTAGACACATGGCTCGCATTAAAAGCAATAGCATAACAACTTACCGGAGAACGGAAAACATTTTTGCCATCTTTCCAATTGCGCGGATTTTGTTCCTGATGACCTCCTTGCGTGCCGCGGTTGCAGTTGCTTAACGACAGAAACACAATGAGAAAGCATTTCAGAAATTGTGCATCAAATTCGCTTTTCAAGTGAAGGGATGAGTTTGGATTAGTGAACGGTATGAGCTTCAGTCACCAGCACGAAAGTTCAGCCTCCTGTCAGTGAGGGCAGCGGAACTATTGGGTAATCCAGAGGTCGCCAAACACACAGCCAGCACACACATTAGTAATACATTTTCAAGCACAGATGTCATGCTATATTGGTTAGATGGAAACATAAACGTGAAGCCTAAAATGGAGAAAAGCTGTAAAAAAATTAAGCGTATGTTTCAAAGCCAAAATAAGTCAATGGGTTATGGCTTGTCTTGAAAATCCACGTGTAAGGGGGTGCTGCATTTTGAAACCATGCACTGTTTTTCCGAGTCGACAGAGATATTCTGGAAATAAAATAGGAAACGTTAGAAGTGAATCAAGTTTGAGACAGCCCAGAGCTGTGCAAAGAATGATGGTGTGCGATGGTTAGCCCTGTAACGTACAGCAGCGGCAAGAGATTCAGCTCTAGCTGGGGGGAAAAAAAGAGGCATCAAAAGCGTCACTCAGCCAGACAAAGCTGTGAATGCAGCCAAAAAGTCTGGGTTCCTCTAGTACAGCTAATTTACGTTGTTAAAAAACCCCCACGAAAATTACCATTTGTATCTCCAGGTTCATTTTACATGTACGTAACTATAACGGTGTAAAACTTGATTGCTCCAATGATTATTTTTAAAAAAATATGCAGAGGTTTATATTTTCTAAATTTGAAAGGTTACCTTTTCACTAAAATGTATTATTTCTATTTACATTTTTTACAGCACTGCTTAATACCATGCTGTTGAAATTATAAAAATAAAAAAACCCATCATGGTCATTGAAAGATAGTACAGGAATATAGGGACATACGATTCCTTTAAAATATAACGTTGAAATTAAGCAGGTTCCTTTGTGAGAAGGAGGACCAGATTAGATCTGCCCAAGTCTGGCACATGCAGGGGCCGTTGGCAGTCATTTGATGTCTTCTTGGCTGCTGTGTCAAAGGGCACCCATCTTACCATGATGATATGGCAGTAAATGTCTGGCCGGTCTGACCAGCCTGCAGTTACACACACCATTCCAGTCTGAGGAGATGAGCTTCCTGCCAGCACCTTAAACCAGCACGCAAGATCAAACACACACACGCGTGGTGTGTGGTTTGTCGGAGCCACAGCAATCAGGCAGCGCTGAGCCCGCGCACTTGTCCAACACATAAGGGGCCCTTGGTTGCCAAATCGTTGGCCTTCCTAAAAAGTTCTGTCCACTGTAACCAATGAGTGGCTGGAACACTGAGGAAGTACAGAACGTGTGATATTAAAACAATATTAATTCTGTCCATGGCTTCATAAAATTTTATTTCGCAGTCTTCATAGAATGGATGTTTTTTCATTTGCAAAAAACAATGAAATGGCTACACTATGCCACAAGTGGGACATCAGCTCATGAAAAAACAAATTAGGTTAATTTTGGCACTTCCACTGTTTTTAAATGATCCCTTTCCTGCTTTGCTTTCCTACGTTTTCTTTGGGGGGGGGGGGGTAGCGGTGAAAGTGTGGAGTTAATGACAGATCTCTCCTTGCTTCCATAAACGTAATAAAGGTTCTAAACTGAATTAAATCCTACATAATGTGTGTCTGATAACGATATAAGTTTTTCTTCCAAATGTTTTTTTACTTTATTTTACTGTTGCACAACATTGGGAGTTAAGATAAAAAAAAGGAAATAAAAGTGAAGGATATTTCATAACTGTTAACTCGTTGGCCAACAGCATGATGATTACAGCATTACATTATATTAGCCCCTCCAGTGTATTAATTCCTAATCTTTATAAATTATCAGAAGCTGCAACACACAAGGATGTTAGCTAATTTGCCATACACAGCCATTTAAGAGAAGGGTAAAAAGCGGTTAGTAAAGAAAACTAGAGCAAAGGGATGTTTTGATACAAAATCAGTGTTTTCAATTTACGTCCTCTTTGGAATATTAACGTTTGACACAAATGATGCAAGGCTATGTTAAAATCCATTGCGATCTTAAAATGTGCAATCTTATAAACATAGACATTCCCCGGTCAACCGTTGGAAAAATATATCTCAAGGACGTTTTACCAAAGATGTTTTAATTACTTTACATATTAATTCAACCAGAAAAAAAAAAACAATTATGGCCCAGTCACCAGATTAAGTGAAACTTATTTAATGTTCATTGTTTATTACACGCATACCTTAGTTATACAAAACATGATATAGGGTCCCTGTTGTCCATTTACATATTAAACAAACAGAAAATGGTGATTATGGAAACTGCCAAATACAGTGACCCACTTTTATGCAAAGGCAGTTCGGTAAACACGTGCGGGCAGTGTTGTTTAAGTCTTATTAGAATGTGTTTATTTATTTATTGTCAGAATGTTAAATTTTATTTTTACACTTGTCTGGTTGGCACAATTCCAAAGAACGTTGACTTTCCATTTAGGGTTATACAAGGTGCACATCACCTCAGTGAAAACCCTGTGCACATTACTTTAACTCACACGGAATATTGCATCAAAGTCAATTTTCGTGTGAAACCACGTGATTTATTGTACACATCCTACCATCCAAGCTCTGTGCAGTGGATACCAGACTGCCCTCCACTGCACACGACTCCAGATCACTGCAGGGTATTACAGCTCTTCTGCCCTCAATGGGGACAACTGCAGAGCGGCAGCATTGGTAACTGAATGTACACTTTTGCGCCATGGTGGCGAGATGTTATCCTTCTTGCCTGGTATGCAGGGCATGGGTTTGATCCTGACCCTGACATAAGTATATTTGGAGTATGCATGTTCTCCCCATGGTTATGTGGATTTTACTCCGGTACTCCGGTTTTACCCTCTACATTAAGACACGTCCCTTTATATTATTTGGCCACTATAACATTCCCACGTATGACAAAGCCACTTCGATTGGCTATCATATGGGTGGCCAGGTCGCCTCTGAAAAGTAGCTCATAGCTCTCAATGGGCTTTACCTGGAAATATAAACATAGTTTAAATCGAATATATGAAGGGTCTAAATGAACACTACAGGACAACCCTAAAACCTAAATTTAAAAGATTAACCTTGCCAAAGCAGCAGTACATGCAAACTTCACCTCAACAAAACAAGGTTAATAAACAACTATTTAAACTACTGCCCATGCCCAGAGATTAAGTGTACATAAATTAGGGACTGGCTTCGTGCATTTATTTGTATGCAAGAATGTGTGATGGATGAATTTAAAATGAATCAACAAAATTTTTTTGTAATTTGCATATTTAAAACATTTGTGAAATTTGTAAGATTTAGAACTATGAAAATGAGATTAAATCAAAATCTTACTATTACATAGATATTGGCAGCAACATTGTGTGTATGTTAAGATTAATAATGTGGTGCAGGTATGTTCAACAACTTATTTAAAAATGTATGATCTTGAAGAGTAAGTAAATTCCCAATGCCCAGTGTAATGTTTGGTTGGCAAGAAAAAAACTCACGAAAGGATGCATGGTCACTACTTATCCTGAACATGTAAATTATAGTCTCACGTATTAAGTGACAATCTTGCATTTAAGGAATGCATTTCAGTTAAGTTTTGGCATAGCTTAAGAACCCATGTTAAAAACAAAAACAGTTAAGGCTTATAACCACCAAGCTTTTAAGAGACTTTCGCTTCAATGAAACATGGACAGAGATAAGGAAGGCCTGGACTGCGTGTGCATTCAATAAAAAAGGCTGCAGGCCTACTTAAAGCGAAAGTGAAGCTCCAGAGTTAAAAATCAAGCCCACGAGGCACTCTTGAAATGTACCTTTTGTACAGATGAGATCAAGGACTTCTTCTCACCAAGCACACAGAAAGACATAAAGAAAATTCAAGAACCCAACCAAATAACACAGGAAAGAATAAGTGCAGTTAACGAAAATCAAAAACGGATGTTGAATAATCAGGAAAAGCCAAGCACCAAGAAAGCAATAAAATGGAGATGCAAGCAGTTATTGAAGGGACACAAGAAGGTTAAGTTCACCAACATTTGAAAACAAATAAAACGCAAATCTGTTTGCATAGGCTTTTATGTTGAAACACTGCAATCATTCTTCAAATAAACGCGACTGGGGTAATCCAGATATTCAAAAGACATCATTGCACTTCTATTTTTCTCATACAATTGCATTGGAATAAAAGGCACCAAACAATACAGGAATCCAAGAAAGAGATTAATGTTGGGGGGGGTCCTCTGCTTGTCACAATCCAAAAATTCTGCCCAAAATCCACAGATGACATCTGTGAAACCATAACCAATAGGCACAAGAACCTATGAAGAATAACAAGGGCGTTCCTACTGGGTAACTGGTGCTGGTTAGTGGTTAATACGACAATGCATGGTGATATTACGATATGACAAGAAAACATCCATTACCACATTCACAAAGAAAGACACTGCTGCAGTTTCATGCACAACCAGTCTTCATGCTTATGTTACTGCACATTGTAATGTAATGCGTTGCTCAAACACTTAACTGGTTAGCAGGATGCAAACACATTAATTTGGTCCAAGAAAATACTTTACAAAACTGATACTTATAAAAAGCAATGGGAAGAAAGGTCACTTGTGCTGCAGGCACGAGGTTGTAATAAGTATCTGCAGCAACACAAAGATACTTTACTTTCAGGCCTCAAAACTCATTTGTAAGTTGAGGCTTCAGGCCACTGTGCAAGTCACAGCAGGGTCTGTCTCAGTGACTCCCACTTGGTTATAAATAAAGTTTACATCACACCTGACATAAGCATGCGATTACTTCTCGGAACATCACTAGCTAAGCCAACGAAAGCTCCTGATGTTCACAAATATCAAAACCTAAGTGTCTTGATAATCAAGTCTCCTTGTCTGCTCCAAGCAGTTTTCAAGCCTCTGACTTTTAAGAAGGGTTTGGTGTTAATATAGTCATAAATCACACCTTATTAAAAACATGTTCCGGTATATTTTTCAGTAAATAAAATTTGGTTAGTATGAAAAAACAATAAATTAATAAAAGCAACATCAAAACATGTCAAGTAAAAAAATGCATCCACACTCTCACACATACTTATACCTGGAGAATGTCAGTTGATATATTCATGCAAAATATTAAATCACTTTAAAAGAATAAATTGCATGGTATAAGAGAGATTCCACAATTTATTGCAGCATTGGTTCAGCATTCGGTGTCTCAAGAGTCCGTCTTGCTTCCAGTCTTGCTTTATGTCAAGCATATTTTAATCAGCTTCATTTATGCAGATGACACAAAAAAGTGAAGAAAGGGAGTTGTCTTACCATCAAACGCTTCTTCACCTTCCGTCGTGAGTTCGTCATCAGAACAGATGTTAAGAACATTCACCAGCATCTCTGTCACTGGATCAACAAATTGCGAGCATAATTAGAAACACGGGCAGCGTCGATTCTACCACACAAGTCACTGTTCCTGCCAATTGTGAAATTTGTATTTCATGCAGTACATATGGATCTACTCTGGATGCCATGCAAGAACGAGCTCAGCTCTTCAGATTTTGACTTCACAATTATTATGATCATTTTTAGGATTAAGCAAGCAATCAAACATAAGCTTTTAATGAACCCTCTTACCTATAAAAGTAAAATTTTCTCTGTGTGTCTCTGTGTGTGGACGCCAACTTGCGACGGATATTACTCACAAACTGTGGGGTTTACATTAAAAAAAAACCTAGATACCACGCGATAAGCCCCGGGGATACGGTCAGTAAATACTGCTAGTCAGCAAATACTATTATAGAGTCAGTAGATACTACTATAGAGTCAATAGATACTGCTTTCGAGTCAGTAGAAGATACTGTAGAGCCAGATACTACTGTAGAGTCAGATACTATGATAGAGTCACTACATACTACTCTATTGTATGTAGGGTGTTTAGGTATATATGTGCCTAAGTGGGGGTAAAAACATTTTTTCAGGGGGGGGTCGTCAATTTTCGAAAACCTTTTAGATCAACTATTTACCCCCCCCCCCCCACTTTCTATAACTTTTTGGACTTCTGCAAGCCTCTTATAATTTTGTTGACGGACACCTCCACAGACAAACGGTACGTCGGGCTTTCACAATAGCTTAGTATTTGTGTAGATGTTATGTTTTTAAGAGAAGTTTTAAAATATATTTTCCCCTGGGCAACGCCAGGTACTTCCCGCTTGTAATACATAGGTGGGTATTACTGCATTACATGTACCTAATATTCTTGGTTCTTTCGGTAAAGTCACGCAGAAGGGAAACAATAAAATAATAAAAATATTTTATTTATTAGAAGGGAAACAATAAAATAATAAAATAAAAATAAACAATAAAATAATAAAAATATTTTATTTTATTGTTTCCCTTCTGCGTGACTTTACCGAAAGAACCAAGAATATGAATCCCAGCAGTCACGAAAGCTTTAAATAAAAAAAATGTACCTAATACGTGAACATAAATACAAACAGAGAAGCACTACAATAACATAATACCTATATTGAAAGGTTCTGAGTTGATTTCATTCAGGTTGACTGTCATAGAAACATATTAATGAACATATAAAAAAGCCCTTATACAACAGTTTTTTTACTCCAGTTATTATACTCAGGATATGCAATATGAAGTGCAATTAATACATCAACAAATTTTGAAAAAAATACCTTTTTCCCCAACAAATGGCAAAGACCACGTGAAGACATCCATGAAATTGGGCAGCCAGTATGGGTGTGGGGAGCAGTTAAACTGCCGGATGTTCATCACGTTGTTTTCATATTTTAATACCGCCGCTGTGGATTTAGGACACGTAAACAACACATGTTATGTTCAGAGTATCACAAACTCAACCGATATTAAAATTAGCAACAACATCAATTCCATTTACATTGTAGATGTATACAATCTTCCAGAATAAAATGAAACATTCTTAAATTATCTTTTAGGCTGTTGGTGCAACAATTATTGACAGGAAATTGTTTGCGGAAAAACATGTTCATATAAATCAATTTCTATAATGACATTTTCAAAATTTCCCAATTCACATTGCCCTTTTTGTGCATTATAATCAGTTGTAAGTGCATTGTTTTCATTGGTGTATACAGAATAAAAAGCTGCAAATATAACGTTGGGAAACATGGAAATATGCAATTTGCCATGCACAATAAATGACAAATTATGTCAACAACCGACCTGCTTCAGAATACTTGATTTATTTGAAACATTGAAGTCTGTTGTATTTTTCTGGAACACAATCCTATTCGAGGAATCCCATTCCATTGGAAAGTCTATTCTATTGGGAATCCACCAACGAAAATTCTGTAATGGAGCCTGTGGTCTGAATACTGAATAGTCATGCAAGTGTCTTACAGCATCTCTCATATCAGGTAGCAGGTATGGTGAAATGGTAGAATGTTTTGTCCACACGAGACAATGACATTTGCCATTTTCATACCAAGCAGTGGACATAACAGAAAAAACAAATATTGGGATCTAAATATGTAAAATTATAAATATCAATGGTGACAGTGTTAATATCTAATGCTATTTTTGTTTCTAAAACGAATGCTGCTACTATACATTTCTGCCTGCGAGTAGAATTATGTCTGCACACTGCTGCAGAATGCAGCGACTCATAACAAATGTGATAACTGTTTATATCCATCGCAGAACAGGCTGTGCTGGGTATTGAAAGGCTGACACTGATGTCATCCTGAAAGTATAACGCTGTTCAAAAGGCTTGCACAGTGCGAACGTGTATTGCATGAAAATAAAGCCATCACACAACAACCTTCGCCGGATCAAACAGTAGCATGAAGCCATCTTGATGATTCCAAGATGTTAAAACCGCAATTGTGACAAGTTGTGTTTCTCAGTGACCCCATTGTAATTAAAATCTGTACAACTGTTGATGTAAGTGTAGTCTTTGCAAGTAAGTTTGATATACAGCTTATAGCATTGAAAACAACTAGTTCAATTCTAGAAATATACTGGATGTATTGCATCCAGTATATACATCTTGGCTTGTGCCAGAAAATAATGCTCTTAGGTTGATGCCAGAAAATAATGCTCTAAGTATAAAATAATGTGTGTATGCAAAATTTAGGGGGGGGAAAACCCTACTTACCCTTGTTATTGTAAACATCTAAGTAGTTTGGTGCAGAGAAGATTGTAATAAGTGATGGAAATCCTGTTGTTTGGCTTTTCCTGTACATTCGATACCTGTTGATAAACATTTACCACAGCAATAAAAACACAATTACAATTTTTTTTAATCTTAGATGTGGAATACCAGATAATTACCTACTACAATTATACATGAAGTTCACTGGTTATCTTAAACAAAACACAAAAAGGCTTTAAAAGCTTACTTTCCACACAAAAGAGCATTCAAGCTGTGCTCATCTCCTGTTTATAGCCCTAAGTCAGTGGTGGAATTTACACATTGCTATGACAGGGACAAGTGACAAGAGCGATAATGGGTCAAGCCCCAACTAGAATTTGAATTCACAATTTTTTTATTGTGAGCCACTTGCTCGACAGCCAATCCACTAGGACGGTACTCCTTAACCGAGTTCAGTATTATATAGACGATCAGTATCTGAAGACTGGTAATTGACCAAAATGCATTAATGCAAACCATGGTTTCGAAGCCTAAGCTTCTACAAATTACAATCCTTAAAAGCAAGGAGTATATTGAGCTCCTTATAAAATCTTAAGTGCATTGTTGCCAAAGAATAGCAGAAAAACTAACACCATTCAAACAAAAGTGCATTTTGGGGTCAAAAAGTACAAATTTGCTGATTTTTTTTAAAAAAGCACTTGCCATATTTTCCTTCTATATATACAAATGTGGCCGTGCCTTGGCAGTTCAAGCACTTGGGGAATGGCTTCTAGCAGCAGTGTGTGAATGACATAACTACCCCTCTTATCAGCTGAAAATATTCTTTACGATTACAAACTACTATAATGAGCGAAGAATGTGTCCCGCGCGTGACGTCACTCCACATGAGGCCCACCCCCCCCGTGTGACGTCACTCCACATGAGACCTACCCCCCTCTTTAATATTCATGAGTGGGTGGATTTTTACACTCACGCAGAGGAAGGTCGAGCTGAATTAAATAATTTATCATGCAAAGTCGCTTCAAATGACGTTTCTTTACAGAAAGTGACGGTAAAAAATACATCTACGCAGCACACTGCTACATCCGTACATGACGTCACTGCAAACGAGGTCCCCCCCCCCACCCCTCTGCATTAATATTCATGCCCGCGTGGAAATTTACACCAACACACAAGAAGGTCGCGCACTCCACCCCTCATTAATAATCATGAGGTGACGTCACTCCACATGGGGCAACCCCCCCCCCTTATTAATAATCCTGAGCGGAACAATTTTTCTATTTAATATTTCAGATTTACTGCAATATACACCCATCCTTGGACAGGCAAAAAAGCTAGTAATTTATAGTGCTGTAATATATCACAACTTACCCTGCATCTTGTGCTTCATGTGCTCTTATAACTGACAACAAGTTGTTGTTTTGCAGGAAATCGCAGACTGCTGGATAGCTGCAATATATAAAAATGCACATTGAATATTACTTTTATAGAAACCCATAGCATGATTCAACTTTATCACAAGCTATATTCTACACTTAGAATAATGCTACCTTCCAAAATAAAATATTTGTATTTTTCCAAATGTATGAAAACCACAGCGTTTAGCTCTCAATTATCCATGGACAGATAATCTAGGTTGGTAAGTGTGCTTGCAAATAACTAAATTAAATATTTTATGCGTACCGCATTAAGTTTAACCTCAACAGAAAGAAATCATATGCAAGCAATGGTCAAGCGCTTGGTTTTTTGGTGTCCATTGCAACAGATTATGTCAAACTATGCTAGAACAACATTGGAATGCAATACATATCTAAACACTATCCACAAAATATGAACCCTTTAAACTTACATAAACGGTTCAAGATTTCACAAGCCAATTGCACGAAACGCCTCATGATCAATAAGCGTTACGCTGAACGAATTCCAAAACGACGCGACATCGTGAAACACTTGCCCTGCGGATCGTACCTGTAGAAGTAGGAGCAGCCTCGCACGGTGTTGTGGCAGAAGTACTCCTGTGTCTTTTCATTGCCAAAGTCCTCGGATGGGTCTGACCACAGCAGGTCACACATTGGGCCAAATGCCGGCGGTTCCTTGAATCTATCCAACTGGGAAGGCAAAGCACAATCCAATTATATCAGTAGATTTTTTTTTTATAATGTATACAAGTAAACGAATATATGGGGACACACTCGGATTGAGCATCCTCAAAAAAACGATGTAAAAAAAACTATGGGATGGAACCAAGTGACCAACATCTTTAATTTATTCCAAAGAACCTGTTTAAGTATAAAGGATCCAATTACTATTTAAAAGTACACCAGTAAGCATTTAAAACATGCTATCGTTAACATCTTTAACATAAACAAGAAAAATGTAATCCTATTAAGACGGTATTGTTCATAACAAATTATGAACTGCAAACTAAAGCAGTAATTGCCTATTTGACTCATCATTGAGTCCATGAGGTGTAGCCAGTACGTGAAGCCGCCGGCATAGCAATATAAGCAATGGTTAGGCCTAAAACGTAGAACACATGCGTGAGCCTCATCCAAAAGTACATTTATGTTATGCAACCATGTAACAATATCCATTATGGAGGAGCATTCTGAACAAATGTGTTGAGTGTTATTGACAAATGTGTTGATTTGTTTATTATTTATGCTTGTGCACCACTGCCAGTATCACCATTTTTTTAAAATATAAATTGCAGCTTCCAATTGTCTAAACTTTAAACACCAATTTTTCTTACAGATAAACACCAAGTCGATTTTAAAACCTACATATAAAATACCATTTTAATAGCTTCAAACAGCACTGACAGTTTAAGTTATTACAGTATTAATAAATACTCCTTTGACATGCTTCACTGTCTTATTTTAAGGCTACACATATAACATACTAAAGTTTTATTTTTGCCATGTATTTGTTTTTCCTCTTCTATCCTACCATTAATGGTTCAATAGAACAATGTGAAAACTACTATTGACCTTTGGACTCATATAGCGGGTGACCTTTAAATGTATGTAGAATGCCTCCAATCCAAATCGATTTATAAGCACGAACAAATCGAAAACACTTAACATGCCATAATATACAGCCCAAAACACAGTCATCAGGACTTACATTTTACATTTGACCTACTACCAATGACGTAGAAGTTCGAATATTTATTTACAAAGCAAAAATGACTAAATTTAGTTGTACCATCCTTGTTTATAATAAGAAGCTTTCTACATATGGTGAGGTGGTTTGGGGGTCATGGCATGTGTCTTGCATATCCCAGATTTATTGCCAACTCCAAACTTGTAGTTTATATATTGCGCAGGTTAAAACATAACCAGTTACTTAGCCACACTCTCTTTCTACTCTCCAAGGAATAATTGTGGAAGCTTAACTTTGTTAGACTATAGCGCACAGTATCCTACTCTATAAATGGTCTTCTCCAGTGTCTGTAAATGGAGATGACAGGTTTCCCAGAGGACGGACAGATGTGCTTAGTGTAACTCTGTCTACCACGGGATTGGGTTTGTAACTGGCAAACCCTGAACTGTCAAGATGTATACTGCCCTTGTGACAACCCTGCAAATCCTACAATTAACCTCAATATTACTCCGATTAGCTAAATGAGCTAGCACTTTTTTTTACAAGTAGCCACACACCAGGCGAAACTATTTTAAGGCTATAGATTACCCAATCCAGTCGAGTAAAAGAGAAATTATGTGTTCTAAATAAATTAACATTTGACATAATTGGGGAGGAAAGGGTATATCTAATGATTCACATTGTGCAGAACAAACTAAATGGAAATTGCTATATCCATTGTGCACCAATACACAAAAGACTGAAACAGTTCACGTTCACATCAAGGAAGCTGTACATAACCTTGCAAGCAAACTATAAATTTCATGAAAAACAAAACAAAATGCTCATCAGGTCATAACCTATTAAAAATTAACTTTTGATGCATCTTCAGCAAACATAAACACTTGGCAGTATGTCTTGTCAGACTGTAAAATATCAGTGCATGCATGTTAAAGTGGCACACACCATTGTAAAAAAAAAAATCCATGCCGAGGTCACACTTGAAAGCTTGTGTTAACATAAACTTGGTATTGGCACTTAAAGAAGTTTCATTACTTCAAAAACGCCAAAAAAACACAGAAAGCCGGAAATATACCTTCCTGATATCTTCCAGGTTGTGTACTTCTGGAGAGAGGCCTCCATGCACACACAGGAACTGCTGGTTCATGAGCGCTGCTAGGGGGAGGCAGTCGAAGGCGTCCATGCAGGCATCGTACACAGTCTCTGTGTACTTAATCTTGCCTGAACAGGGGACACACACATCAGTTACGAAACCTGTACACGGTGTGTATCGCAGCAATGGGCACGCAGTTGCATGGATAATGATGCAACGTCTTTTGCAAACACGCAATGTCAAGTACAAACAATATGTAATACTTTGATATAGTTCTAATTATAGCACACTAACAAGCACTGTTATAACCAAATAATTTCATTATTGCTGCAGATATATTTATGGGCCCTTAAATGAAACATTACAGTCAATTGTATGGCAATAACATAGGCTACTTTTTATACTACAAAGGTATTAGGAAAATTAAATTTTGAGCACAACGAAAAACGTGCTCAGACACATTAAACAAACACAAGCATGCTTATAGCCACTGACAAAATGAAGTGTTTTCTGCACATAAAATGCATCTTGATTTAAAGCTTTCATGACTGCAGGGATGCATACTTTTGGTTCTTTTGGTAAAGTCACGTAGAAAGGAAACAATAAAATAAAAAAAATATAAAACAATAAAATTCCCACGACGTTTCGACTGCAACACAAGCAATCAACATCAGGTGTGAAAACCACAGCAAGAAAATTTTCTTGCTGTGGTTTTTCACACCTGATGATGAGCAAGAACATTTTCTTGCTGTGGTTTTCACACTTGATGATGATTGCTTGTGCTGCAGTCGAAACGTCGTGAGAATTTTATTTTTTATATATTTATTATTTTATTGTTTCCCTTCTACGTGACTTTACCGAAAGAACCAAGAATATATAAAATGCATCGTTTATATTTCAAGTAAGATATACTATATTTACACACAAATACAGAATGTATCATTATTTAAACTATTATTTTCCTCTGGAACATATTTAAACATTGATGACTCATGTAACCTTGATGTTTGCACGCTTACACTCCTGTTTGAAAGTGAAGTACTCCGTCAGGTGTCGGCATTCGTGATTTCCTCTTAACAGGAACAAGGTGGTGGGGTATAGAATCTTCAGGGCCCAGAGGTACAAGACACACTGAACACAAAGCAAAACGACAACACACCAATGTCAGCACTCATGATAAGCTGTTCTTATCAAGTGAATGTAGATTTAAATTAAGTTTTGTACCTACGTAAAAAAAAACTTGATTTGAGTCATTGTCACCACAGGAGGCTTCTTATTATGCACATTAGCATAATCCCACAGGGCTATGAGAACGTTTGCAGGGTAGGCTTTTGAGGCAGGCACCAAATGTTGCCCCTGCAACCTGGTATACCCCCCCCCCCCAACTCTCTAACCACAACCCCCGACTGCTCATTAGCGGTGCAAGATTTAAGCAAAGAAAAAACAATCATAAAATAATAATGCTCCTCTCCTGAGAACAAAAATAGAATCTGAAGGGGGATAGTAAAAGGGAATGTCCTAAACTCAAATGCAATGGTGCCGATTTTTCCAAAAAAAGTTGAAAAAAAAAAACACATGACATGGGCATGAACTAAAATAACGCATATCCCTTGAAAAACATTTGAACAAGGAAAGCTTGAAAAAATCGCCTTAAATTTAGATTCCCGTCACAGGGATGGATGGGTGGGAGTCAAGTGGAAGGCGCATTGACTCGGAAAACAAGTTTTTACGGAGGTACAAAACCTATATTTTTTCTACGTTAACGACACCGGTCGACAAGAACCTTACTATGTACATTCGGAAATATATCACCGATAACAACACGGAATAGGGACAGCTGCGGACACAACTGCCCTCCCAAGGAGGCATCCTGCTAAGACAGGGTATAGAAATAACATCTCACAAATGTATGAGACTAATTTGATGTTGTCACTTTGCAAATGGTCTCAAACCGCACGTTGGAAGCCCTTGCCAAGGAGGCTGCCACTGCCCTGTTTGGAATGTGTCCTAAGATTTCGAAGAGGGACCTCATATGCCTCCCAATAGCATTGGGGAATGCAGTCTAAAATAAACTATTTTTTATTTTACCAGGTAAGGCCCACTGAGCTTTTTAGCTCTTTTGCAGACACGACCTGACCACCAATAATAGCTCAAGGAAGTGACTTATCACATGGAAATGTATAGCAGCCAAATACTCGAAATGCATGTTGATTCTAAATGTGGAGGTAAAAACTGGAGGACCCAGATATAAAAATCCACGTGACCATGGGGAGAACGTACCAACTCCAAATAAACAGGCGTCTGGGTTGGGATTTAACCCAGGGAAGTGCGGTCAGGGGAGGCAGAGCCTCACCTGTCATACTCCAATAAAAATAGCTATGACGAAAGTAAAAATAATCAAATAAATAAATATTAAGATTTTTCCACTGATCTGTGTGATAAATGTAATTTCTGTACGATTCCAATCATTTTTATCGTCAAAATCGCCAAATTTGTGGAGCTCCGCTGAGCGACGAGCTCAGATTCCCCCTCTGATTGCGCAACCCCTCAGTAACTGGATGGAGCGCGGGCAATAAGCGCGTGTCTGTTACTATCTCAGTATGTCACCAATGTAATGTTTGTAGACCCCTTCATTTCATGTCCTAACCTTCCATACTCCAGGTAACTTATTTCACGTATGTGTATAAAGAAATTTAGGCTCGCTGGTCTCGTCATGAAAAAGCACCTGGGGAGGCAGCTATCACATCTGCCTCACTGAGGGGGACGTGTCTAACACGCCCCCCTCCGTGAGGCCACGCCCCCCTCAGTGTGTGAATCTGGCTCCGACACTAGCCAGTGCCTCCCCAGCCATTGACCTCACCGCACGTCACTGATTGAACCCACCACCTCCTGTATACCAGGTAAGGTAGTTTACATCTGAGAAACGAAAATTCACGCTTTCAAGGCAGTGTTGACCCTCACGGCCTGACTATACAGCAGAAACAGCTGCCTAGAATTATGCCAATTGGTGGTTCTTTGAAGATAGAAGTGTGTGCAGAGCTCTCTGTCGTTTGAGAGATGCAGTTCCTACTGTAGGTGGAATGCGGATACCACCTTCGGCAAGAGCTACGGCGATAAGTGCAATACCACCGTGTCATGTTTGAAGCCTACAAAGGGATGGTGACCAAGCAATTTCCTGGAAGTATTTTCGTTTAAATATTTTTGACATTAGATTAAAATAAGACGGAACTTCATGTGGGTACTTGAACAAGATTGGGATATCTAATATATTGATAAGTCGTGAATTTAATACATTCTAATTATGTATGGGAATGAGCAAAAAAGGATGACATTTAGCATAAATATAGTTAGGTCTATGCCAATAAATATGAAATGTGAATCCAACAGCAATAAATACTGAGGCAAAACATTTATAATACATTTAGTAAAATGATGACCTCTGGGTGTTGATAACCAGTCATTTAAAATTAGATGATACCCTATTAAGTGGTGCAGTATGTAACTGCATATACATTGCAAATGTTTTTGTCCATTTTAGGTGACTGTTGAAAGTTAAACTGAGAAACAGTATACACGACTAAAAAGTGTGATTGAATGTGGCTATATTCCACTCAAATTGTGTTTGATAAATAACCAAGGATGTAGAATTATGCCATTAAACATCAAGACATTGGAAAATTGAGCGTAGGTCCAAGAATCAAACTTCATTAATTAATAAATATACGGCTAGTGTCCAACAATAAGTAGAAAACACCCCTGCCATAATATCATATTATTATTAATTACTTTATGAAATACATATTTGCGTATAATCCACAAGTACAGAAACATAAAATGGTCTTAATTATGTAGCACTTCAGTTATTTAAACAGTAACAATTTCAGGAACCTTTTCTATTTGTTTAGTATCTGCAACTCCATTTGAACTCTCTTCGTACAATACGCTGATGTGTGTATTGAGGCTCTGAATGTATTAGGTTATCTACCGAGGGAAATTACATTACAGAATGCAGCAGTAAAGACTTCGTTTGGACTTTAGTGCGATTTATAAAGTAAAAACAATAATCATGTTCTTTGCTCGTATTTAAATGTCTCAAGTCACATTTTTTTATGTTTTGAAATTAAAATTAAAAGTAGAGCCATCTTAATTGATTATTGCCTTGGTTTTTTTTTAGCTAATTGAAACTAATGCAATTTGAGTTGGTAAATTGTCAATGTGACCAAATTTCAACATGTTGTGCGCTAAAGGAATCGAAGGTTTATAATTTATACCACAGCCTAGGTTGCTTTAGGATCACAAAACAACAGTCCACAGTACTTCAACTTTGTTTGCACATCTATGTGGTATTTTTTTTGCAGGACAATGTCAACGCCAATTCTGAGCACTATACTGTGCAGCACACAGAGTATGACAACTTGTACAGCACAACCAAACACAATCCACCACGGACGAAAAGTAACAGAAATCACTTCAAAGCATTTACAGAGTTTCTTGGAAACCAATTCTACTTTAATAGCAAATCTTGATGACAATTCCTTGGCCCTAAGCCCTGTGATGATGGGCATGATGGATTGTTAGCTGCTCTATTGTTGCTGCGCCTAATTGATCTAATTTGTCTTCTTTCCAACACATTACTCTAGAGCTATATTGCCCTGCTGGGAGTACCATGGCTTTAAGATAATCAATGGTTGAGATTAGCATGCAGCTAGTGTAGTCCAAACTTATAAGCAACTCATTTAAGACATATGGAAAAGGATACTTGTTTACGTATGCATATGGTTAAAATATTTTTTTAATGTATATTCTATTCAGGACACTCATTGAAGTTATACTTTTTCTAACGAAGTGTGTTTCTGTGCAGGATATATTCAATGATACAAGAAAGATATAAAGAGCACGTTGCAATGCAAGAAAGTGACTTTGCAATATTTTGTTTGAAAATATGACAAAGCTAATACCAGCCAGATAAGAGTGATAAAAATGTCACATCGGTGACCAATGCGCACAACACATTCGTGTTGGAGAAGCAAAATGTTGAGACTGAAGGCCTAATCTGTTTCAACCTAAGTTGGCTACTCACTGTAAGAAGAGCCATGCCCTTCAGGAACAATCCAACTATATAGATAAAACAATATTTGAAAGAACATAATGTAATTTTCATGAAGGCACGTCATTCTATATCTAAGGACAGAATATTAGTGTATGTGGGTGTACAGTGACCTTTCACCCTCTGATGTAGGATCTGTAACCCTAGGAAGACGGCCAATCCAATTAAATAACATTGTGGAACATTTAACGATGGCGTGGTTTCCCTATCTAGTCCTTCCAAATGCATGCAACAGCGATTGATAGTCGTTGGATGATTAATGGAGAGCTGTGGTTGGTTGGTTTGTTCCTGCAGGGCAGTGCAATAAACTGTCACATGAGATTAAAATAGGAAATGAGGTGGCGGTGCTTTTTAACTTCGATTAAGGGAAGTGTTGCCGTGTGTGGATTATAAGTGTTATAAGTATTATTCATGGTTGCACAAACCCATCTTATGGCAGAGGCTCAAGTTACAATGCATGTCGCCCATGGCAACACAGCATGTCTCATTGTGCCATAGATTGTGGCATAGTCTGTGCCATGTTAAATGTTCAAAATGTGAGAAATTCAATATAAATAAAATGCCTGATATACCTGTTGACTTCAATAGCTGCCTCAAGTGGCAATTCACTCAATCAAATGTATTCAGGACTTAATTAATCAATAAAGCAACTATTCAAAAATGAATCCCCAAAAAATTGTCTTGCCAAGTGCCAACTAGTCACAACATTTACAAATACCAATAAAGAGTCCCTGTTTGACTGCAAGCGATGTACACTAAATCGCTGAAAATCTTCATGAGTGAATTTTGTTCTCCTTACTCAGTGCTGTCTAGTGTGTGCATCTTTACACACATGCATCTCACTCTAAGTCAGGGGTCACCAAACTTTTTTCACAGTGGGCCGGATAACTGAAAGAATGACGAGCGCGGAACCGCATAATAAATAAATATTTCTGGAGCGTCGGACCTGTGTTGACAGCTGGAAAATCTGGGAGCGGGAAAGATGCGTGTTTGTGTGTGTTGCCATGGAAACCATGGTAACGTGTTGCCATGACGTTACCATGGTAACGTCAGAGCGTAGGCGGAGCTACCACGAGCCGGGAGAAGTACTTGGGATGGCACGAAATAAGCAAACATTACAATAAACAAGAAAATCTAGATACAATAATTTAACATTTAAAATAGTAAATTGAAGGAACATAGCAGTCAGGAGGTCTCCGCACGCGTGAAGATCTCCTAGTATTCTAAACATAATATTTAAATTTAAATTGTATCACAACATCTCGTGGTCCATACGTTTTATCAACCAAATTCAAGTACCGTCGGCGGGCCTAATGGACTGACGTCGCGGGCCGGATTCAGCCCGCGGGCCGTAGTTTGGTGACCCCTGCTCTAAGAGGACAACAATTTGTAATGGTGGCTCCTAAATGTACAGGAAAGTGCTTCCACAAAGCCTTTCCTTATGAAATCACCAGTGGGTTAAGGTGGAACAAGTTGCCTGAGGTCACGATGCATTTCTTGTGTCTGAAACCACTAGATATCACGGTGACTTCATTTTGACTTCCAAAGGAATATTACAAAGCTAGCAATTGTAGCATTTATGACAGCTGGGAACATTACTGAGAGAGCTCAGCTTATGAAAGTCAAGAAAGTTTTGTTGCAAAGTTAATTCATTTGACTCTAAGGACCCTTCCTATTGGAAAGTAAATTATATTAATTTATTTTAATTTTTTGCAGCTTGCAGTGGAAAAACACTTTTGATGAAATTTTAAACTCATTAAAATCGTGCCATATCTTAAAACACAATTAACTGACTACAGCATGAATAATCCACTTTGAAAAATCCAACAATATTAGATGCCAATATAAAAACATTTGAGCGACTGACAGTCCATCAGCAAATTCCATTGTTTCCATCAACCCAGTGTTGATTATATTATTACTGTTATAGATTTCTGGGATTAGGTACAATGTTTTAAGATGGAGCTAAAATTACTAAATATGCTTTATTTAGCATGTTAGTTTGATTTTTCTAGTTACATGTACATTTCAATATGCTACACAATCATGGTAGTATGCAGCTATGTAGTAATCATAGTTTCAATAAAAAGTTTGGCACTTTTTAGTGGAAATTGCAAATTCAATATGCTTAACTTTTGTAGGTATGAGGATAGTTGTGGCGAGTAAATCATGTTACATCTTCAATGAGACACTGCTATGGGTTTATGGGCAGGGACAGCACCATTAACTGTCAAACTCCACCTGTCAGCTAAATTAATATTCATACAAGTGCCTACTCATGCCTATGAAGCAGAGCTTGAGATTGATGTAGGAGCATGCAAATCACTGCCTACACATTAACATACATGAAATGGGATTCATAACAAACATCTATACAACTTCCTTAAGTTTCGGTGGCAGCAACCAATATTTGTGGGAGCCAAAAAAAGGTAAAATTAGCTGTATAAACTTTGTGCACCACCGGCCTGACCATCTGCCTTGTTTAAAATCCTATTTAAGCACATCTGTTTATCTTGATTATGACATTACAGAATGACAATTTCCACGAGAGTGATAGTTAGAATACCCAAGCCTTCTATTGATATTAACTGTTTTAAAAGCATGTGAGGAGTTGGTTTTCAGGTTTACAGACTGAACTAGGTCTCCCACAGTGTGGATATTTAAGCATGTGTCACAAAACCACCACGGATGATGTTACCACAATATTCATAGTTTGTAATTTCAGAAGTTGACATTTCTGAGTTTCATGCAAATGGATATGTAAATTATCAGCAATATACCGTCGGTCAAGCTTCATCAGGTAACTTATATTACTATAGATTTAAAATGAATAAATTAGCAAACTCACCTCTATGCTAAAATATCCTCTGTCGACATAGTCTCCCAGGAAGAGATAGCGTGTGTTGGCAGGCGAACCACCAACCTCAAACAGCTTCATCAGGTCAAAGAACTGACCGTGAATGTCTCCACACACTGGAACAAAAGCACAGCTACAGTTAATACAAAACTTAAACTCGAATACACGTCATAAAAATGCAAAGTATGAAGTTACTTATGTCCAGGTACAGTGCCAATGAAAATTATACCGCTGGACATTTTGAAATTGTACGCATTACTCCTTGCTTAATTAGAGAACGGCACGTGAATCATGTGCACTCCTATTTACATGCTCAGATTAAATTCCACAGTGTGGGACAAACATGGGGTCAACCAGATTGTATTTAGTCTGGCAAGCCTAATAGAATTAATGGAATATTCATGTGAAACTATCAACAATTAATTTAAATGTATTGCACAGGTACAACATTCCCCTCTAGGAAAACCCCAAGCAACTCATTTTTACAGCATGTGACCTTGTGAATATAGTTAAAAAATTAAAAATTCAATCAAAATAAGATGGCTGCATGCTTTGGAGATAATAATTTTGAAAAGTACTTTAACCTCAGCGGTTCTGGGTTCAAGCATTGATGGTGGGTACAGAAAACAGTGTTGCCTTCTTAGTTTCATATACAATTCCCAATTATTGCAAGTTTGATGACCTGGGACTCATCACTATTCAAAAAGGTATTAAAAGTCTAATCTTCCAACCCATTTGCTGATGTTGAAAAGGTCCAAGAAAGCATTTATAAGTGTTGTTTGTTTAGAGATAAAAAACATTAAACCAATGTAGCTTTAAAAGTTTCAAATACAGGTCCTGGGATCTCTATGCAGAGCCCTAAGATGGTGAACCTTGCCCTTTCAACAGCTGGTCTTATTGGGAGTTACCAGGGGCTTCGCTCTGGAGCAACGCCAATAAGTCTGAGAAACACGACCTCCGGGGGCCAATTGGGGGTGATAAGCACCTCGAGCACTTCCTCACTGCTGATCATTTATAGGACCTTGGGAATCAAGGGGAAATAGGGGGGGGGAGTAGGTAACCGAGGCCGCCGGCCCAATTGGCCGATAGGTCATTGGTCACTCGGGCACCTTGCTGCCGGTATTTGGACGCTAACAACTTCAGCTTGGTATTCCCCCCCCCCACCCCGGAGGAGAACCAATCCAACTCCAGCCTCCTGAATCTCCAAGGGATGCAGAGCCCAATCGCTGGAATCGAGCCTTTCCCGGCCCAGCCAGTCCACTGTCTGGTTGTCGATTTCAACCAAATGGCTCGCCAATAGCCTTATCTGGTTATTTTTTACCCATGATAGTAGAGTGTAAGACCTACTGCATCAACTTATTGAATCTTGTCGATCCGTGTCTGTTTACGATGGCGAATGCTGTGATGTTGTCGAGTGGATTATAATCTTTCCCTGACACTAGGCCCTTGAGCCGCTCAAGTGCCAGCCCGATGGCCCTGAGTTCAAGGAGATTTATGCTCTCCCTTTCTTCTGCTCGGCACCACTGTCCTTGTAGGGTTTGCCTCTGGCAGCACGCTCCCCAGCTCCATAGGCTGGCATCTGTCTCCAGTACAATCTGTTCCCAGAAGAATCCTAGGAGGGACCCCGATTTCCAGCTGGGTCAAATTCCACCACCACTGGAGATCCGTTCCGGCTGGTCCGGACAACAGAACCCATTGAAACATTTCCCTCGTAAGGCCCCCCCCCCCCACCCCCCAGTTGTCTAACAGGCAGCACTGAAGTACCCGCATGTGTAACCTAGGCTCAGTTTAACTCGGCTAGTGCAGCCACGTGGCCTAGGATTACTCGGCATCTCCTTCCTTGGCCTCCTTTTTCCTGATGCCAGCAATGCTGCCCCGCTTCTGAGAAGGGACAATGGTTTCTGGCCGTTTAACACAAAGCCGTGCTCCTGGCATACTCGCACCACCTCTGAGACACTTTCCTAGTGCGTTCTGAGTCCGTCTGTATCAGTAGGTAACCTAGGTAAGGATACACATGGTTGTCTCTGGCTGTTAGGTGGGCAACTATCACTATTACAACATGTGTGAAGACCCTTGGGGAGGTTCATAGATTGAACAGTACGACCTGGAATCCCCAGTGGTCTCCCAACATCAAACTAAACATTTTTTTATGTTAACGGGTAAGGCCCACTGAGCTGTATAACGCTTTTTTCAGAAGTGACCTGGCCACAAATGACAGCTCAACAAAGTGGCTTATCACGTGGAAACTTATAGCAGCCAAATACTCAGGAAGCTGTGGTCTTGCTTTCTTACTGGCCCACACCCCAGGGTGTCTCACCAAGAACAAGGGTCCAATGCTTGTAAGATTGCTAAGGGAGAGGGGGATAAGGAGGGGAAGCTCCTATGCCGAAAGGCGGAAATCAAATAAAACCATATGCAAAAATGAATGCATTTCCCGGGTTCCATTTTATGAATACTCTTTACTTTCCTGTGATATTGAATATACAAGTAAAATTAAGGATTGTAAGTGATTGCAGGAAAGCAGCTGTTGAAAGCTTAGTTTAAGATATGTCGTCAGCACATCTTATTAATCTTACAACATGTTTCTACAGTTTAGCAAGATGAGATAGATTGTAGCAGTTGAATCTAAAAAGCGATTAAGGCGAGGCACAAAAATGTCCTTTGCGGTTGGGTTGACTGCTAATGAGAATCTTGTGCTTGTGACATGTTCAGTCTCTAATTGGTGTTCACATGACATCCTCATCAATCTGCAGAGCTATAGAAGCAGCCTACAGGATTGCACATTGCTTTTATGGCATTCAGCTACAGTGCACAGCTCATGTGCACTGTAATTTAATCTCGGCTTCCAGAAATCGCAATCCGTTATCCAGCCGCTGGCAATGTTGCACTCAAAGAGGCCATGGGTTTTAACGACTTTCAAGGGTCATAATTATAATCGTCCTTGAAGGCTAAACAGAGAACTACAAGACAGCATTTAGAGCATTAAGGAGTTAACTAATGCTTATTATAGATTGCCATCACAGGCAACATTGGTATTCATCTACATGCGCGGCTTTCATCTTCATTTTTATCCCACATGTAACACACATTTTAAAAAGCAGATGAGCAATGCTCACAATACATATGTAAAACTACATACAGTATTCAATCAAAACCTTGAAATGTGGAGCACAATGGTCAAATGAAACTCCAGAAAGGCTCCTCCATCTTCAACAGTTAGATTGATCCAGCAAAGGGATTTGAAAATTTGAGTTGTGGTAATATGCATGTGCAAATGATAAATCTGGTGGTGCAACTCTGCTGCGAGGGAAGTGCGAGAGAATAGAGGAGAGAGTTGCAATAGCCAGGGTGGGACATGACAAAAACATGAATGAAAGTCTCAGCATGAGAGGGGGTCAAAAATTGACCTATGTGGGAGACGTTGCACAGGTACAGGTCCTGCAGAGTTGAGAGATGTGAAGAGAAAATGAAAGCTTAGCATCAAAGATAACACAAAGGTTTTAGACACGGCGAGTTTGATGTCCAAGCACAGCGGGAAAACAATCCATTCAACTCGACTACCTGCTCAAAACTCGACATTGTAAATGCCCATCTTAAAATACACAACATTTGTAGTAAAATATCCTTCTAAAATACATATACCTATAACTTTTGGATGCCAAAGACGCAATGGGGCTGGACCCTCTTAGACCAGAGTCGATGGAGAGTCGATCAAAAATCAGAATAAGCAGCAAGCCAGCAGTTGAACAAAAAGTAGGAGATCTATGAAGCCGATGTAGCACACTTCTGGACGTTGCTGCCGAGTCTCAAGGGGCTCGTGTGTACTATACACCTCTCAATTTAAACAAGATGAGCAATTGGGCTGTCACTCTAGTTACTTTTGTAAAATATGTTTATCCCTTAAGAGAATGAAGATCTATATATATAAAAGGGAAATTTGTGAATATGTCTGTTCGAAATGTGGGTAGCTTCCAGACTGTACAATGCAAAAAGTATAAAAATAGACTTTTGTATTTTGGGGGGGGGGGGGGGCGCAATAATGGATATAATATTTTGCACGGCAAGTGAGCAGTGACGTCACATCTGTGATGTCACCCGCATGCGGCAGCGTCACGCAGTGTACCTGCTGACGTCACGCATCCCCCCCCCCCCACCCTCCGCGTAATTTGTAATATTTAAGATTTACCAAAATGTACACCTGTCACAATTTTTTGTTATAAAATTTACATTATATATCATTTATGTCATTTTTTTGCAATCCTAACTCGTTAAGAGGTGACAAGCGGATTACATCAATGTGCAACAGAATATATAACAGTGAATATAGTTTAAAGTATGCCAGTCACAATGTTCAAAGTAATGAAAATGTATAAACATGTCACCCTACATGTTCTAGCATCATGCCCAAGTAAGGTATGGCTAATAGGCTACATATAAGCTGCAATGTTAAAGTGAGTTAACACATTGCCTTACGAGTATATTTTCTCATTAAAATGTTCATAAACTTTACACTCACATTGTAAGCAAAGCATTACACTTGTGTCACTTGAGAGGATCAACGCAGTTCTTATTTTTAACAAAGTGAATAAGAGTGATAGTTTGTTACAAATTTAATCTTCGCTCATTAAAACCTGCCCAATAAAAAGCCAAATCAATACGGTAAAATTCGCCTTTCAAGTGTCCTATGCTGTTACCTTTCTCCTCTTACCTCCACGCTTCCTTGCATTCATATTAACCCATTTACCTTCAGGCACACTAATTCCCTTCCTGGCCATCGTTTTCATCTCATGCATCAAGCTGACCTTTTTTTGAGTCGGCGTGATCCCTTTGTTTCTCTACGAGACGCCGAGCTGCAACGTCTGACCACCACACATTAATGATTCCCTTTGCTTTGCAATGCCCTTGCAACTGAAGCCTCCATGTGCGGCACAACAGGTGACAATGGATTTGATGGATCCTTTTAAGTTTAAAAGAGATTTTTATGGTTCTAATCAAGTTGTCAATTCCAGGCTTTTCCCATAACATTGTTACGGGGCAAAAAAGGTCAGCGCACATTTCCAGGGTGTCCATGTAAGGTATGGATAAAAGACTACATAGAAGCTGAAATGGAAACGTCAGTAACTACGTTATCTCCGTTGGTTTGAGGTTTATATTTGTGGAAACATTGTGTTCTAGCGTCTGTCGGGAGCGTGTTGGTGACCACCGTGTTAATTATTATAAATCATATTCTTGGTTCTTTCGGTAAAGTCACGTAGAAGGGAAACAATAAAATAATAAAAATATAAAACAATAAAATTCTCACGACGTTTCGACTGCAACACAAGCAATCATCATCAGGTGTGAAAACCACAGCAAGAAAATGTTCTTGCTGTGGTTTTCTTGCTGTGGTTTTCACACCTGATGATGATTGCTTGTGTTGCAGTCGTAACGTCGTGAGAATTGTATTGTTTTATATTTTTACTATTTTATTGTTTCCCTTCTATGTGACTTTAACGAAAGAACCAAGAATATGAATCCCTGCAGTCACGAAAGCTTTAAATCATTATTATAAATCAGTTTCCATTAACTAGTCCATGATGCTTATATTTTCCGAAAAAGAAAAATCCTGAGTGAATGGTTCAACTGAAAAAAATACCCACAGGTTTTTCATTTCTTACAAACTGCTGTGATGATAAACGTTACAATTTACAGAAATATATACATCCATGCAATGAGAAAAAACACAACAGGCATTTTACACTACATTTAGCTAATCACGCATTGCATAACTTACCAATAGTGAACATTTTTACCAAATGTGGATTGCATACCAACATTTACAGCGTGAAATATAATCACGTCGATAAATCCAATTGTAAACATTTACTAGACGTGAAACACTGCTGGATGCGTCTGCGTGACAACAGTGACTTCATCATGGATGACAAAGTTAGCAGGTCATTCACTTTAATGGTCACATGGCTTGCCTCAAGGGTTTAGGGGAGTAAATCTAATTTAAAAATTCATGGAATCAAATATTTCAGTCAGATAAGTATGTCGGTATCCAGTGAGCATGTAAAAATTCACTGCCCCCCCCCCAGCAATTTTGGATTGGGATTTAAAATTTAATTTGTCAAATTTGTACTGCCTTGTTTGTGCGGTTTCTGATTTTTGTCTATATTGTTTTTAGTTTTGTGTACACTATCAGTCAAAAAAATGTGTCTTAGTAAAGGGGCATAATTGAGAAAAATTACGGTTGTATGTATGGAACAAATGTTGCTTGAGTGGTGGAAAATGATGCACAATCATCCAAGCTCTAAAAAGGCCAACATTTTTCAAATATATAAATGATAAAAAACTAAGATGAAAAGCTTCACTTTGATTGAACAAAATATATATCTCAGAAGACAATTCAGGCAAGAAGATATAGTTTTAACAAAGTTATTAAGAGGAACATTAAAAAATGTCAGAAAATTGCATTGGGGAAATAACAGTAAAACATACACTATAATATATTAATGCTATTAATATTTTCACAACACATGGAAATGAATTTGACAATCGGTTTGAAAACTCAGGAGGGAGGACTACCAATATAGGCTGCAGATAAAACAAAACTGATTTTCCAAACAAATTCAGATGTTTGTTAGAGGAACACAGCAGGAATACATATCTTAGTAAGTATGATGGTTAATTGGGATCAAAAATATGTAATACAAAGGCACGTAAGTAGAAAACTGAACTTAATATTGAAACGCAACATAACAATGTAAAAAAAGCTTTCTATATGTGCATATTACTCTCAATGACATGCACATTTTTTTTTCTATTAAATCTAAAAACTACGAGGAATATAAAGAGGACCACAGAAACAATAGAACACATGCAAGTTAGAAATTAAAATTAACTGTGAAGAAATGTCGGCTTGGGAAGGGCATGTCACTGGAAGTGATGATGGCGGCAGGTTGAGACTGGCGAGGAAACTGCAGCCGATGGAATAAGCACTCCAGAGAGGATGATCACCACAGAGAAGAAGCGAGATAATTTAGCTCGTGTGCAGGAGCTTGATGAATAGTTGCATCCAGACTATGGGATGGGAATGATTTGGGGGAGGTCTTTTTTCCAGCAGTAGAGGTTGACTGACAATAATTTTTCTTTGTGGATAGTTCTGTTCGACAGACATTTACCACCTTAAGACAGTTTACGTTACTGAGGCCTTAAAGTTAACCTAATTAAATATAAGTTGATCGCTGTGATTATGCAGTTAACTCTTAACAATCCGTGGACGAACTTCGATTTAAAACTTTCGTGACTGCAGGGATTCATCTTCTTGGTTCTTTCGGTAAAGTCACGTAGAATGAGAATAAAATAATAAAAATAAAACATAATAAAATAATAAAAATAAAACACAATAAAATAAAATTTGTTTTATTTTTATTATTTTATTCTCATTCTACGTGACTTTAGCGAAAGAACCAAGAAGATGAATCCGTGGACGGATTACCCATGATTGTAAAATAAATTAAAATCGTGAATATGGTATTCCACACTAATTGAGCCTGATGGTTCTATTATTAGCTGCTACTAACTGACTCGGTGATCGATTACGTTAACAAGCGAAGAAACACGTCTTTACAATTCTACATGAGAAAAGAATACATATTTTTATAAACCTATTTTGTATTGTCTAATCCGTATTTGGTAAATCTGGGACATCGCCACCCCCCACCATTACCCCGCCGAAAAAAAACCACAACTCCTCAATTTGCAAAAGTATACAATTGTATGTTAGTGCAAAGACACATTTTGAACTGCACAATCATACATTGACACAGTGATTTGTTTACATTAATTTTCAAGATGTATAATCCTGTAAGCTTAAAATACAAAGTAGAATGTTAGGCGTGAAATGTGCTAAGTATATTACATTAATTGTATTTTACGTCTAGAGACGGATTATGACACAAATGCCTGTGGCTACATAATGCAGGTTTATGCAATGAGGACTTCATGGCATGACAGAACTCCAAGCTGGGTCCCTGAGATCACAATCCATTGTGCTAGCGCCTTTGCATATACAGTAGTAGCTACATATTACCCAACTAACACCTACATCCATGTGTACAAAGATAAACAGACATTTCTATGACATCAGTGAAAATAACTAGTGCGGAGGTTCTGAGTGTGTGCTACATTGCCGTCTTTCTAAAAAAAAAAATGTCGACAACCTAGCTTTATTGTGAATATTCTCACCCCAGGAAATTTAGTTCATTTCGGGATGTTTAATACAAATGTTGTAAGGACGTGCAAAGAGCAGGCAAAATACATGTTGCTGGAGTAAACTAGTATTTGAGTAGTATTAGAATCTATCAAAAGAGGGCTGTGCAACAAAATCCATAGTTTTACTGTAAAGTATGCCCCCAACGTCTGTGGCGCCTCCGTTCCTTCACCAACCCACACAAACCAGCATGGTGAAAAAAATACACCCACCATGACCACACGGGTGTGAGAAAGCTTTCATCTAGCAGTGGAATGACAAAAAACGGTTGTACATGTACTGGTATAAAATTACAAGTACATATATATTTAACAAACAGCTAAAGTTATTCTTTTTCAGGTTGCCAAGTAATAATGTTTATTTCTCAGCTGCCAGTTGTATATTGACTAATATCACCTATTGTAAATTTGCAGGAAGGTCATTAAACATCACACTTTTGGATTATGCAATATATTTTTTTAAACATGTGTTAAAACATAAAAACCTAAGGTTATGCAGCATGTAATACCCCAAAAGCATTTTAATATTATTTATAGAGAATAAATAATCGTCAACCACTTTACTTAGGGTGCTGTGCCAAAAAAAAGCCACAATCTCAGAATAAGCAGGAATGGTTGGTAACAAAAACATTCATGCTGTTGCCCTAATCTGTAACGGTTCTCTCGTTGTATGACCTTGGTCTAGTCAGGATGACCGCAGAAAGGAAGAAGTGTCATCGTGAAATACTTGAGCTTGTATTTCCATTGGCAAGACTGGGCCACAAGTATACATAAACAACAACAGGTGTGAGGGTGAAAGTTGTTTGCTGCTTCATTCAGAGCTCTGAAATATTGGGCGAGACAGTTGACTTGCTACAATGTCTTAGTATAACTTCCACCTAGGTTCAACTTCACAGAGTACCCATTGCTGCAACTAAAACCTTGACAAGAATAACTATTGCTGCTCTGGTACCACTGCATTGTAGAATAACACTCCTGCTGTTCATAACTCACCCACCCTCACTGTACTTCAGCTATAACTCTCTCAACAAATGAATTATTTAATATGGCTCACAGCCAAATAGGTGGTATTTGTTACTTGTATTGCTTGGAGCAAGGACTTCACAACTTTAATGTTTTTTCTTCTTCCATTTTCACCTCATAAAACAGATGTACATTTCTTAGCAAAAGACAAAAAAAACGGAACACACCTGTGACAGGAGCTTCAATGTCAATCATGGTTTTCTCTCTGCGTAGGATGGAAGCACCATCATTGATGATCCTCAGTGCCACATCCTCCTCCACACGGCCCTCTTTGACGAGATGATTTTTGAGGACATCCACACGCGGCTTAGCGTCGCTGTCAAACACCTCCTTCATGGTGAGCCGGTGGCTCGGGGGGAATGGTACCGCTGAGAGGAAGAAAAAACCAAAATAAGCAATAATTAACATTCCTCCCTTTGAAAAAAGATCTGTAATTCAGTAGCAAATTCTCTGCAGTATCTTCTCAGCAGGAAATCACTGAAATTGCATGAACAATAAAGTCAGCAAGTATGACACAGAGTAATATATCGTAACAATTTTATATTTATCATTATTTTTCAAAACTCTTACATGAGGGCATCAGTGTAGTTAAAAATTCCTTCATTATAACATAAAATACAGAGTTGATTATTAATATTCATTTTCCAACACTTCACGCTCCCTGATATCACCACAGGTCTACGAGTCACACATTGGCAGACAATTATAGATTTTAAGTTATTGCAGAAAAATGACAGGTGTAGTTGGGCAAGGCAATAAAGCTCCCCAATGCAATGACTAAAGATGTTTAGTCTCCTCCAGATGTTTATTTTTCCAATTCCAGTTGTGGCTAGAGAATCATGTCACATTGTACCAATTCTGTGAACCTATTTTAAAAATGAATTACAATTGCTAACATTGTGGAGCTCTGTCTTATTTATAACAAGCAGAGCAAAACTAATAAATGACACCAAATGCAACCTCACCACTACCATCTTCACTATTGCACTGTTGACATGTGCCAGAATAATAACTTAAATAGACTTCCGATACTTGAGAATGAAACAATTTGGCTCAATTGCTTTAAGAATGGAAACATAAGTGGAAACTAGAGACTTGAAGTGTTATTCCTATAATTCAAGTGTCTAATACAAAGTCATGCTTAAATATAAGCCTAACTTCCGAACTACTTACACAAATTATAACCACAATCTTCTCGTTATCAACCAGTTATAACCACTCTTCTCTTTATCGACCAGTTTAAGTCATAACTGGCTATGTTTACATTTTAGACCTGGCAGCCCTTTAATTTGTGAAAGTCCACCACCGGGACCATCACTGACACGACGACCATCACCACTAGCAGTAGCCCTTTATTGGTGGAAGCCCACCGCCCGTGCCGTCGTGACCCTCTACAAGTACCATCACTTCTAGCAGCAACCTCCACCGTCAACAGTGTGAGTGTGTAAAGCGAGGTGCAATGATTACTTGGCAGCCCTTTGATTGGTAGAAACCCACCACCAGCGCCGTCATTGCCCTCTACGAGTACCATCACTTACATATTCTTTGTGACTTTACCAAAAGAACCAAAGAATATGAATCCCTGCAGTCACGAAAGTTAAGTAAAAATTTACCATCACTTACATTAACATTAGCTGCCCCGCCCATGCTGATGACACTTGGACTATGCCCATTTCAAACCTTTACAAACAGTTTGCCTTTAGAGGCTAACCCCCTATTCCTGATGACCGCTTTTGTTGCGATCGAAACGTCGTAGTTTTTTGTTATTTTCTTTGAACCTATTTACGTGACTTTACCGAAAGACCCAAAGAATATAACCACTATTTAGTGTTATTTGCATTCATCTGTACATACAAAAGATGGCCATATAAATTAAGATAAGGGTTAACCCAAAATTAAATAAAAGGACAACTGTCCTTACCCTATTCACAAGGGTAAACGGTGGGTAGAGATAGGGAGAATTTGTTTGTGAAATGTTTCAATAATTTATGGGTTAGTAATTGTCATAGAGTTCCTAAAATTTGCATTGCCTAATAATAATAATTAACACAGTAAAAAATAAGGCATTACATTCATGTGCATCGACAGCATGAAAATGGTACATTTTACCCAAATTAATGTCAGTTACTGTTTATCTATAACTATGCTACAGAACATTATAAAGTGAATACACTGCAAAATTAATGATTACTGTAAAGTTATGTCTCGACTATTTTGTACCGTTTTCAAGCAAAACTTTTCAGATTTTATGTAAACATCCTAAAAGAATAGAGCCTTGATACTTATGTTGCTACCTTCCAAATAAAGTACTAGTGACGAATTGGCATGTTCTGTTTAGGTGACAACCCTTACTAGTTGGCTGTGTCGGGTGGTGGCAGGTTTTAACGACACATTTATATATTTACGTGCTCTAACCTAAAAACCTCTATTATGAAAGTACACAAAATGTACAACTTAACTGAACAATTTATTCAGGCCAATCAAGACAAACATGTAGGAATAGGTTTTACCCTTTTAACTGGCACAAAAACTGACACCTTTATTCAAGGCATCATGTTTGCAATAACCACAACACAAGCAGTCAAAATGCAAACAAAAAAGACAACTCTGATAATAATATGCACTGTCCTTGAATTTGATTGGTCCACACCCGAGACAGCTTTTATTAGAGCCTAGTCTCCATTGGTGTTGGACCAGAAGACGCCAAAAGGTGTACAACTCAAAAACAGCGCACTATCAGAGTAGAGGGCTCGGAGTGAGCATTAACATTATGAGACCTCCTTTGCCAGAAACAAGATATAAGAATAGGTTTTACCCTTTTAACTGGCACAAAAAAAGACAAACCTGCTTTAAGTCTTTCTAATCATTACACTATACACGGTTTTAACACACGCAGAGTTACATAAAATAATGAATCACTGAGAAAACGATAGCATCATATAATAGCCACATACTCAAAGAAAACATTCTCCAAACGTCGTGAGAATATTGTTATTTTATTTTATCAATTTATTATTTTATTCTCATTCTACGTGACTTTACCGAAAGAACCAAAGAAGATGAAAACATTCTCCATTTAACTTATTTAATGGGTAAGACTTGGTTCATCAACGACTGCATACTATTTGAAACTGACACCATCCAGACTGCCACCCTACGCCCGACCTTATGGAAGAGGTAAGTGGATGACACTTTTGTTATCTGGCCACATGGCCGGCCTGCTCTAGACTAATTCCTCGACCACTTCAATTCCACACAACCAGCCATCAGATTTACCATGGAGGTTGAAAAAGGCAAACTACCCTTTTTGGATGTCTTAATTAAAAGGAGACCTGATGGTTCAATGAGCCACTCTGTCTACAGGAAAGCTACCCATACGGATGCTTACTTAAAACCGGATTCCCACCACCATCCATCCCAGAAGAACTCCCTCATCAAGACTCTATACCATAGAGCCCAATGCATTTCCGACCAGGAACACATTGCCAGTGAACTCAAGCACGTAAACCAAGCTCTCAAGGCTAATGGTTACTCCGACTACACAATCCGCAAAGCCATCACTCCAGTCATGAAGAAGGATCCTCTTGAGGAGCCATTCAAAACCATCACCTTACCCTACATTGTGGGGGTCACAAAAAAGATCAAAAAAATCCTGAATAAACACAAGATCCAGGTACGATTCAACACAGTACATAAAATCCATGATCTGGTTCCGTCTGTAAAAGATGTGGTTCCAGACATACAGTACCCGGGCGTTTACAAACTAAGTTGCCTCTGTGGTAGCAGCTACATTGGAGAAACCAAACGACATATCTCGGACCGCATCCGTGAACATAAAGCAGACTTGAAACACGGTAGGACGAACTCCTCAGCCGTGGCAGATCACTGTTATAATTCAGTGGGCTCACATGACTGACTTCTCCAAGACGGAGGTTCTCTGCAAGCCATCCGGCTACCATGAGAGATTCGTTCATGAGGCCATCCACATATACAAATACAGAGACAATTTCAACCGAGAAGATGGATTCTGGCTTAGTAACCACTGGAAAGATGTTATAAACCATTTCGGTTCATAATTGATTGTATTTTACGGTGACCTGAGACCGCAGTCCATTCGCTGGCACTGCCTCTTAATACCTTTCACACGGCGGTCAATGGTATGGTTTATAGCATGTAGTATCATAATAAATAACATTGTAATGGTTAACATAATTCATAAGGTAATATATAGTATCGTAATTGTATAGTGACTAAACAGCAGTGTGGTATATAGTAGGGTTGATAGAATAAGACAGTGTAATGTTACAAGTCTAATATTTTATAGTCTAAAGTATAAGGCAGTGTATAGTAACGTATTGTATAATTCAAAGGTGGAATTTTGTCTATGGATATGATTTTATACCATGTAGTTTAGATTGGAAGGTATATTGTATTGCATAATAGTCCAGTTTATAGCATAGTTATAACGCAACACAGGACAGAGCAGCGCACCTTGGCTGTTCCCTTTCTTTCTTTTTCTGTGTGCTCGGTCACCACCCTCCTCCGATCCGGTGGTGGTGCTGGGTAACATGCTGATTCATATGTTAATCCCACCCACACAGCTTAAAAAGACACGGTCCTTGCTTGGCAATGTTCACTCAAGTGCTGTCTTCTGGACAGTCCTGTTTATTCACCTGAAGAAGGCTACTTGTGTTGTGGCCAAAACGTCATGAGAATCTTATTTTATTATGTTTTATTTTTATTATTTTATTTCCATTCTACGTGACTTTACCGAAAGAACCAAGAAGATGAATCCCTGCAGTCACGAAAGCTTTAAATCGAAAAATAAAATATATTTATTTACAACTTGCATCACTGAGTTTGTTATTTCATAATTAGTTTAGAAATGCAATATTTAAAAAAATTCTAAATAAGCAATGATTACTATTCGATATTTGTGGACCTATGATATATCAATGTCTAACCATATAATGGCAAACCAAAGTTGTGCAGACCGAGTTGAGACTAGCTCCACCCAATGTGAGATAATCTTGTCCAACCCCTGTTAGCAATGTCACTTGTGGATGCCATCAGTCCATCAGTCTCGGAAAGTCCAGCAATCCCAGTCAGTGACTTGTAAAGGAGAATTCACAACCAGCAACACCCACCATGACTCTAGCTGTCCAAAACTAAACTTCCATATGGGAAAATAGCAGTTGACACTTATTTAGTACTCAGTTCTGCTCAAGCAAAAAAGCCACCAGGGTGTCCATCTTCAGCCTTTGGACTCAAATAAGCTTTCTCAGCTTCTGCAGGATAGCCTTGCAAACCCCATTAATTTTAGGTAGCAAAAGTACTTTCAGTAGAAGCCTGGCCCTGCAATAGGCCA